AAGTATAAGGTGTAAGTGTAAGGTGTAAGTATAAGTATAAGGTGTAAGTGTAAGGTGTAAGTATAAGTATAAGGTGTAAGTGTAAGGTGTAAGTATAAGTATAAGGTGTAAGTGTAAGGTGTAAGTATAAGTATAAGGTGTAAGTGTAAGGTGTAAGTATAAGTATAAGGTGTAAGTGTAAGGTGTAAGTATAAGTATAAGGTGTAAGTGTAAGGTGTAAGTATAAGTATAAGGTGTAAGTGTAAGGTGTAAGTATAAGTATAAGGTGTAAGTGTAAGGTGTAAGTATAAGTATAAGGTGTAAGTGTAAGGTGTAAGTATAAGTATAAGGTGTAAGTGTAAGGTGTAAGTATAAGTATAAGGTGTAAGTGTAAGGTGTAAGTATAAGTATAAGGTGTAAGTGTAAGGTGTAAGTATAAGTATAAGGTGTAAGTGTAAGGTGTAAGTATAAGTATAAGGTGTAAGTGTAAGGTGTAAGTATAAGTATAAGGTGTAAGTGTAAGGTGTAAGTATAAGTATAAGGTGTAAGTGTAAGGTGTAAGTATAAGTATAAGGTGTAAGTGTAAGGTGTAAGTATAAGTATAAGGTGTAAGTGTAAGGTGTAAGTATAAGTATAAGGTGTAAGTGTAAGGTGTAAGTATAAGTATAAGGTGTAAGTGTAAGGTGTAAGTATAAGTATAAGGTGTAAGTGTAAGGTGTAAGTATAAGTATAAGGTGTAAGTGTAAGGTGTAAGTATAAGTATAAGGTGTAAGTGTAAGGTGTAAGTATAAGTATAAGGTGTAAGTGTAAGGTGTAAGTATAAGTATAAGGTGTAAGTGTAAGGTGTAAGTATAAGTATAAGGTGTAAGTGTAAGGTGTAAGTATAAGTATAAGGTGTAAGTGTAAGGTGTAAGTATAAGTATAAGGTGTAAGTGTAAGGTGTAAGTATAAGTATAAGGTGTAAGTGTAAGGTGTAAGTATAAGTATAAGGTGTAAGTGTAAGGTGTAAGTATAAGTATAAGGTGTAAGTGTAAGGTGTAAGTATAAGTATAAGGTGTAAGTGTAAGGTGTAAGTATAAGTATAAGGTGTAAGTGTAAGGTGTAAGTATAAGTATAAGGTGTAAGTGTAAGGTGTAAGTATAAGTATAAGGTGTAAGTGTAAGGTGTAAGTATAAGTATAAGGTGTAAGTGTAAGGTGTAAGTATAAGTATAAGGTGTAAGTGTAAGGTGTAAGTATAAGTATAAGGTGTAAGTGTAAGGTGTAAGTATAAGTATAAGGTGTAAGTGTAAGGTGTAAGTATAAGTATAAGGTGTAAGTGTAAGGTGTAAGTATAAGTATAAGGTGTAAGTGTAAGGTGTAAGTATAAGTATAAGGTGTAAGTGTAAGGTGTAAGTATAAGTATAAGGTGTAAGTGTAAGGTGTAAGTATAAGTATAAGGTGTAAGTGTAAGGTGTAAGTATAAGTATAAGGTGTAAGTGTAAGGTGTAAGTATAAGTATAAGGTGTAAGTGTAAGGTGTAAGTATAAGTATAAGGTGTAAGTGTAAGGTGTAAGTATAAGTATAAGGTGTAAGTGTAAGGTGTAAGTATAAGTATAAGGTGTAAGTGTAAGGTGTAAGTATAAGTATAAGGTGTAAGTGTAAGGTGTAAGTATAAGTATAAGGTGTAAGTGTAAGGTGTAAGTATAAGTATAAGGTGTAAGTGTAAGGTGTAAGTATAAGTATAAGGTGTAAGTGTAAGGTGTAAGTATAAGTATAAGGTGTAAGTGTAAGGTGTAAGTATAAGTATAAGGTGTAAGTGTAAGGTGTAAGTATAAGTATAAGGTGTAAGTGTAAGGTGTAAGTATAAGTATAAGGTGTAAGTGTAAGGTGTAAGTATAAGTATAAGGTGTAAGTGTAAGGTGTAAGTATAAGTATAAGGTGTAAGTGTAAGGTGTAAGTATAAGTATAAGGTGTAAGTGTAAGGTGTAAGTATAAGTATAAGGTGTAAGTGTAAGGTGTAAGTATAAGTATAAGGTGTAAGTGTAAGGTGTAAGTATAAGTATAAGGTGTAAGTGTAAGGTGTAAGTATAAGTATAAGGTGTAAGTGTAAGGTGTAAGTATAAGTATAAGGTGTAAGTGTAAGGTGTAAGTATAAGTATAAGGTGTAAGTGTAAGGTGTAAGTATAAGTATAAGGTGTAAGTGTAAGGTGTAAGTATAAGTATAAGGTGTAAGTGTAAGGTGTAAGTATAAGTATAAGGTGTAAGTGTAAGGTGTAAGTATAAGTATAAGGTGTAAGTGTAAGGTGTAAGTATAAGTATAAGGTGTAAGTGTAAGGTGTAAGTATAAGTATAAGGTGTAAGTGTAAGGTGTAAGTATAAGTATAAGGTGTAAGTGTAAGGTGTAAGTATAAGTATAAGGTGTAAGTGTAAGGTGTAAGTATAAGTATAAGGTGTAAGTGTAAGGTGTAAGTATAAGTATAAGGTGTAAGTGTAAGGTGTAAGTATAAGTATAAGGTGTAAGTGTAAGGTGTAAGTATAAGTATAAGGTGTAAGTGTAAGGTGTAAGTATAAGTATAAGGTGTAAGTGTAAGGTGTAAGTATAAGTATAAGGTGTAAGTGTAAGGTGTAAGTATAAGTATAAGGTGTAAGTGTAAGGTGTAAGTATAAGTATAAGGTGTAAGTGTAAGTGTAAGGTGTAAGTGTAAGGTGTAAGTGTAAGGTGTAAGTGTAAGGTGTAAGTGTAAGGTGTAAGTGTAAGGTGTAAGTGTAAGGTGTAAGTGTAAGGTGTAAGTGTAAGGTGTAAGTGTAAGGTGTAAGTGTAAGGTGTAAGTGTAAGGTGTAAGTGTAAGGTGTAAGTGTAAGGTGTAAGTGTAAGGTGTAAGTGTAAGGTGTAAGTGTAAGGTGTAAGTGTAAGGTGTAAGTGTAAGGTGTAAGTGTAAGGTGTAAGTGTAAGGTGTAAGTGTAAGGTGTAAGTGTAAGGTGTAAGTGTAAGGTGTAAGTGTAAGGTGTAAGTGTAAGGTGTAAGTGTAAGGTGTAAGTGTAAGGTGTAAGTGTAAGGTGTAAGTGTAAGGTGTAAGTGTAAGGTGTAAGTGTAAGGTGTAAGTGTAAGGTGTAAGTGTAAGGTGTAAGTGTAAGGTGTAAGTGTAAGGTGTAAGGTGTAAGTGGGTTGCACATGGTGTGCAACCTCAAAAAAGGTGTAAGTGTAAGGTTTAATTTTTTACAAAAGGTGTAAGTGTAAGGTGTAAGTGTAAGGTATAAGGTGTAAGGTGTAAGTTGCACACCATAACCAAACCCACAAAAAAATTACTCCTAATATTTTATTATAAATAAAAGAAATTATAAGTCACATAAAATAATATTATTTTCTTTATTTGGAAGCTCAATTAATTTGAAACAATTCTTTGAAACAGATTGACAAATTTCACTTACAATTAGGTTTTGATCTATTAGTTTTATAATATTAGAACTCAAAAAAAAAAAAAAAAAAAATCATTTATTGCTAAAATATTACAAAAAAAAAAAAATGCTTTTCAATTTATTCCAAAAAATAATAAACCAAATACATAAAAATACTTTATTTAAAATTATATAATCACTATACGTGTTACAAATTAAAGAATATATATTAATTATAATAAAATAAAATAATAGAAGCCAAATTAATGAATAAATTGAGAGAAATATAAGGAGAGTATTTTGGTCTCTATGTTAAAAAAAAAAAATTATTAATCATAACAGTTTTAGGGTTCGTTTGGGATGTGGCTTTTTGACTATTTTAGCTTGAGACTAAAAAGCCTCGTTTAGGATAAGTTTTTTAGTTTTTTTGACTTTTGTGAGAAAAAAAAAAAGAAGAAATGATTATGGATTTGATGTAATGTTTTGTCAAAAAGCCTATTTTATCTTTTTATAGCTAAAATAGCCAAAAAGTCAAAAAGCCTAACATGCCAAACAAATTCTTAAAAAAACTTTTCTAACTTCCTATACAAATTGCAATAATTTTACGCATTTAGTGCATTCCTTAACATATGACCTTTAGACTATGTTTGGCACGTCTATTTGGGCTAAAATAGTCATATAGGACAAAATTGACTATTTTAGCCAAATAGGACAAAATGTCACATTTAAACTATAATCATTTCATTTTTTTCTCTAAAAAAAGTCAAAAAGTTTATCCCAAACGAGACTTTTTAGCCCCGAACTAAAATAGGCAAAAAGCCAAAGGGTTAATGCTAGTGCCTCCAAGACACTAGTTAAAGTGCATTTATGATATATATATATATATATTTGTTACAGGAAAATCCTCTCACTCTCTCGTAGGTTCAGGACAGCGCCTCTTGCAGATATCACTAAGGTGTTCTATTGTCCGTTCCGAGTAAGGAGACTATAACCTGAGAACTTGCCCCGACCTCCCAAAACAAGCTCTGCTTAAGTCAGGATTTGCGCAGCGAGGAACATTGGACCCATACCAAGTGTTGTGGTAACAACAAATTGAGGCTAACCTCCTAACCAACTGCGCTACACCCAGGAGATTGGCTCAATGGGTTTTGAACTTGAGACTAAGGGTCTTAACCCCCAAGCCTTTACCAAGTTGCAAAACACCATTGGGTTCATTTAATAATATATTAATTTGCGTTGAAACTGATAAGTTTTTAATTTTAGTTACTCATTAAATTAACAAGTTGGGAAACTGAATAGGGAATGAATAGAAAATAGAAAATTTGTTAATAGAATAGGGAATGAATAGAAAATAGAAAATTTGTTAATAGAATAGGGAATGAATAGAAAATAGAAAATTTGTTAATAGAATAGGGAATGAATAGAAAATAGAAAATTTGTTAATAGAATAGGGAATGAATAGAAAATAGAAAATTTGTTAATAGAATAGGGAATGAATAGAAAATAGAAAATTTGTTAATAGAATAGGGAATGAATAGAAAATAAATGAAAAAGTAATTTTTAAAATAAGAAATGAATTTTTTAATAATATTTTAAGATAAAATTTTGGTAAAAGGGTGGGGATGCTAGCGTAAATTACTGGACCAAGCCAAATACAGCGTAAAGGAGCAATCAATCAATAACTCGATCAGAGAGAGAAAGAGAAAGTGAGAGCAATGGCTTCTCTCCCCACCCAAACCATTCTCTCTCTACAAATCTTGGTGTTGTTAATCGCATATATCAGTGGTGGGGTTGTAGAAGCAAAAAAACAGAGAGAGTTCGATTACTTCGCTTTGGCTCTTCAATGGCCTGGCACTGTTTGTCAGAGATATACTAGCCCTTGTTGTTCCTCCAACGCTTGTTGCAGAGGGTACGTCGTATTGCCAATCTTTACACTTATTTTCTTTTATTTCGTATTCAATTGATTTATACCTGAGCTGGGTATATATATATATATATATATATATATTTGTTTGTGTATATTTGCAATTAATTTTTATAATGGGGGTGTGTTCTTGTGGAAGCTTCGATTTTTATGAATGTTTTGAGGACTTTAGATTGGCACCCTAATTGATCCTTAATTCTGTTTTTACTTAAGTTGGTGAATTCATACCTAATTGATACTTTGGGTGTTATTGTTCACTGGCCCCACGCCCAATGGGGCTTTGGTACTTTGATAATTTCTTGTTGTTTTCAAGTGGAAGTTGCCTAATTCTATACTTATAAATATAAATGAAGGAGTTGCCTCTTCGTCTGTAGGGAGAGTTGTATTGTTTTCTAATCATTATGAAAACCACAGTAGCTGTAGATAGACGTAATGCTATTATGGGGTGAACCATGTAAATTTGTGTGTGATTTTTTTTGATTTGTTTTATCTTTTCTTAATTGTTATTTTGAAAATCGCAGTAGCCATGGACGTGTAACCCTATTATGGTGTGAACCACATAAATTCTTGTGTTTCTGTGTATGCGTGATTTTTTTTATTTGTTTTATCTTTTCTTAATGTTATTTTATGTCTCACTGGTCCTAATTAAGAAGAGTCAATTTCCTAGCATGATGTTGTTTATCAGCAAAAGGGGAAAAAGGGAAACAAAATATGAGCTAGCATGATTGAGGTAAATTTGTGTAAGGGCCTAGTTGTTGCTTCTAATTTGGTCACTATTTTAGTGCCAATCTTTGCTAACTTGAGCGTCTCAAATCCTTTCATCAAATGTTCATCAAATCAAGGGAGAGTCATTTTTTTTAATCAAATTGAGAACTCATCAAATTTGAATTTGATAAAAATTTTAAAAGATAAAGTGTTGAAGATGATTTTTTTTTTCTTCAAATTTGATGAAAAGGAAAATTTGGGATAAAAGGGTAATTTTTAGAAAGATTTCGATGAAAATTTGATGAAATGATTATAGTAGTTCATATCAAATCAAATTTCTTACTCAAATTTGGAATCAAATTAGATGAAAAATTTGGTGAAGGGGTTGGAGATGGTTATTGTCTCCTCAATATAGGAGTTTTTTGCAAAGGGCTTTATTCAGTGCTCTTGGAGCAAGACCCATGTGCGGTGCTCAAAGAACACCTTATACTAATCCAATTGATGCATCAATGAGATCCTGATATTATATGTTGATATTTAGCCTAATGACAGGGAGAAAGTCCCAAACCACTATGTTATTTTTGGTTCTATTTATTTATAATTGGCCACCACAAACAAAATGGGACCTAATGTCCCACTTTCATGAGGTAAAACTCGTGGTCCATTCAGTTTGAGATGGCTGATCTGAGATTTAATTCAGAAAATTTTTGTAGGTAAGATGATATAGTAAATTTTTTTGTGGGTACTCCTTATTTCCATATGAACTCAATTCATATTTTCACTACCTTTTTGGGATAGAACATCACTAAATTCAGGGAAATTAGAGGAGAAAGAAACATAGACAATGAGAGGCGGAGATTGTTGCCAAAGAAACAAAGAAAATAGACGGAGCATGGGTGTGATGCATTTTCACCGAACTGCCTAATCGCGGTGGCGAAGGAAACTGAACAGTGAGGACTTTTAGGAGTAGATATCTAAATATATTGGGCACAGAGTGGTGATGTAGGGTTGTTTTTGGCCTTTTTGGCCTGAGAATTATCGAAGGCAGACTTAAATCGTTTGTGAACCAGCTTCAAATTTACATTCACACCAAATAGGTATGCTGAATATATAATAAGTAGATATATCGGTGGTGAAATAGGGTTTTAGGATTTGGAATGGGGGTAGCAAAGGGCTAAAGATTTGGAGTTTTAACAAAACAAGGAGAGACTTTAAGTTTGGGATCTGCTGTAAATGGTGCTGGTGAACAGAACTCAAGTGCTATCTTGTGTTTCCTGTTGTGTGCTAGAGTTGTTTGGTAGAAGACAGTAGGATTTTGATCTAGGAAAAGAGGTGAAGCCTACTTGGTTGTGGGCTTTTAAAGGTTTAAATATGATAAAAGTCAAAAGAGAAGAAGAAGAAGAAGGAAGAAAAAGAATCTAGAAATCACTCATGGAGTTCCTTTGGCATGACATCTAGGTTTAGTATTGCATCATACAATTCTTAGAAGCGTATAATAGTTGGATGTTTTTTAAGCTTTTTCTTTAGTAGAATTTGAACATTTCCCTTTTTAACTTGTACATTTACTCCAAAATTAGATACTTAAATTATGACTTCTACACGCATCTAAACCAGCTATAAACTATAATGAAAATTCAATAACTTAACTTGACCCAAGTTAAAACTCATGGAAACAACTATAGGTCATGTCCCACAAATATTCAAATTACCAAGATAGCCTTGACTTGTAAAACATAGTGAAAAATATATGTATAATTGAATCAGTTGCAAAAAAACAAAAAACCTCTAAAAAGTATATATACTGTACTTATCATATATGTGTGTGTGTGTAAGTATATATATATATATATAATAAGCTTCAAATGGACTTAAACATGATTGTTTGAGTTCCCTAGTGGGCCTTGCATCACCACACGTGCCAAATCAAGGCTTGGGCCTTGGAGGCATCTTTTATGTTCCTTTGATAAATTGCTAATACTGTTTTTTTTTTTTTTTCCCTCCTTTCTTTATAATCAGTTTAAGGACAAACCCTTCTAAGAAGGTGTTGTAACCAAAGCAAACACTCAAATCGACAAGTGTCGGATACACGTCCAAATATGTCTTATCATCTTTTTCAATATTTTATAACCAGACACTTTGGGACGCACATGAACACATTGCAAGTTTGAAGAAAGTAACTTGAAATCTATTGATAAATTAAAAACAATATGGATTTATACATATTAATCTCTCCTCGTTTAGTTTTAGGAATTCTAAAATCCAAAACTTCCATTTTATTAGAGCTTTCTAAAATAGATATTAGCATTTTTTATACACACTTCCTTTTTAGTTTGTAGAATGTGAAAAATGATTTATAACTATTTTGAATTAATAAAATATAACCACATTTGTAATGTCAAAAATCGAGAAATATTTTTTATTTGCATGTATACAAATTATTATGTGTATTTATATTTTATCGCGTCCTATCATGTGATTACTTAATTTATTTTTTACTCCCTCCGTCCCAATTTATTTGTCTATTTTGGGGAATCCAACTCATTAAGGAGACAAGCAATTATTACACTTCAATTCAAAATTTAAAATACTTTTACCATAATACTCTTTGATTTTGAATTTTAAAATATGTTTCTACTTGTGTATAATGGGTAATTTTGGAAATCTAAAAAAATTCAACACCCAAAATAGAAAGTAGACAAATATTTTGGGACGGACCAAAATGGAAAGGTGGACAAAAAAAAAAAAAATGGGATGGGATGGGAAACTAATAAATTAGGGGCACTTTTTCATAAATCCCTTTTCACCTACTTATATTCCATTTAGTTCACATTATTTTCTTATGTTCCAATAAGTCCTATGAGTGGCATAGTTACCAAAATACCCCTGATAATATTCATATTTACATTGTGAATGTTCACATCACCAAATTGCTAACCGTTCAAAAAATATTTGTAAGGGGAGAAATGTCTATAAAATACCTTAAATATGAGAATTGGGATTTGGTAGATCAAATGTCTAAATAATAGGACTTATTAGAATATAAGAATATCTTATGGACTAATTAGGATACAAACACTTGAAAAAAGATTTTCTAATAAATTTTCCAATAAATTATCAAGTTGGCGTGTTCGTTTTGTGTCATATCCATGTCCCTTGTCTGTATCTGTCCTCCTTATTTACCAATTTACCTTTGTTAAAATCAATACTAAGCATAAGCAATATAAAGTGGGAATTACATGCCATATATATATATATATATATTCAAATGAACAGGGAAGCATTTGAGTAATTGTTGGAAGAAAATTTAAATTTGTCCAGCAAATGGAATGTTAGGAATTGCCAAATAGGATTTGATCTTAGAAAAGAGCTGAAGCACATTTGGTTGTGAGCTTTTAAAGGCTTAAATTAGATGTGCTAAAAGTTAAAAGGAAGAAGAAGAAAGAAGTGTAAGAGCCTAGAAATCATTCCGAAGATTCTTTAGTTATTACAAATAGGGTTAGAATTGCATTACGCAATTTCCACATTTTATCTCACCGGCTTGGAACTACTATAAATCATGAATATGAAGACCTGACTAATACTCAATCCTAGCAAGTCAGGTTCTAATCTAAAGGTGAAAAGGCGTTTTTTCACAATATTGCTAGGGAAGAGGTTGGGAAATTCAAACTTGGCTCGACCTAGCCCAGGCACCCTATGCCTTCTTTTTTAAATAAGACTTAAGAAGTACGGACACTTCTAAGAACGTAACGTATCCATGTCGTGTCCGTGTCGAATACCAACACTCTTTGGACACTTCCCTGACACGTGTCCGACACTCTTTAAAACGTGTCTTATTTTTTAAAGACCCAGACACTCTTTGGACACTTAGAAGACATAAGTGTGTATCTCTTAAACACACGTGTCTGTTGATTAGACTCATGTGAAACTAATTATAACTTTGAGCAAAATAACTTAAGACATAATAATAAAATAAAAAACATATAAATTTGTAAAAATTAGTGTCATATTGCATTTTTTATTATCTTTGAATGATATACTCATATATATAACATATAATAAATATATAAAATTATATATTTCATGTGTGTCTCCCATATGTCGTGTTTTGCATTTTTTGAAAATTTGCGTGTTAGTGTGTCCATGTCGTGTCCCGTGTCCGTGTCTGTGTCCGTGTTCGTGTTCGTGCTTCTTAGAATAGGACTCTAAAATTTGAAAGTTTAATTATGACATCTAAGTCTATCTAAACAGCTAAAAATTATAAATGTTTAGCAAATGAGATAACTTGATCAAAGTTGCCACCTATGGGTGATATCTATACAGCATGTCCCCCGAATCTTAATTAAAATAACCTCCACTCTGAAAACAAAGTAATACTGTAATACAGATGTATAATTGAATCAATAGCAAAACTAACTTAAAAATGTATACACTTACATTATAATCCTCAAAATTGACTCAAATGTGATTGTTTGAGCTCTTAGTGGGCCCTACTAACCCAACAAGTGCCAAACAAAGGGTTGGACCTTGCAAGTAAGGTTTTTCTTTTCCTACCATTTTAACTTAATTAGAATGATGTGAACCCCTTGGGTAGAACTTACCCTTGAAAATTGGCTTATAAGGGGAGGGTGCTCAAGAGGCTTATATGTACATGGCCAAGGCCTATTAACCGATATAAGATTGTAACATATCACTATGCTTCATAGCTGATGTCCACGACGGCCCACTCTATCGACATTGAACTGGTGGTAGCCCTTGCCCTTCTGGTGACTTCACTAAACTATTAGTAGTTGACACCTTTTTTAAGGTGTCTAAATCTAGAAGTCTATAGGTGGCCCCCTTCGCAGCTCGAACTGCAAAGCAACATCCATTTTTAGGTGTCTTAATCTAGCATTCTATAGGTGGCCCTCCATAGCTCGAACTGCAAAGCAGCATCCATTCGATCCCATATTCGCATAGGTGTGTCCAATTCCATACTCAATGTGATGGCTGGCTTTGATATGAAATAATACGAACTCCTTGGGTAGAACTCACCCTTGAAAACTGACTTGCAAAGGGAAGGTGCCCAAGAGGCTTATATGTACATGGCCAAAAGCCTGTGTTAACCGATAGATAAATGTGGAATTTAAATTGGAATTACATGTAAGATAGATAAATGTATAAACAAATGAATGCAAAACATTGATAATGAAAATTAACTTATTTTATGTGCTTCAGTTACCATCATGTTGAATTTTGTCTCTTCTTTTACTGATGTTGCCTTTTTTGTGTTGTCAGATTTGTTTTCCTTCACGAATATAGTTATGTTGAATCTTTTAAATATGCATTAAACTCTACATATTGGGACTTACCACACTTTGCTTATGATTTTTACCCAGCTCAAATGCTCCAATCGAGTTTACTATCCGTAAGTATAAATTTGGGATTGTTCTTTTAAATTGAGAATCTAGATTAGTGGAATCAAATTTATTGGCTTCTTGATTGTTGTTTATGGTGGTAGAACTAAATCAGCCATATACTCAAGTCTTTTAGCATAATAAAGCATGCCTAAAGAACTTATAATTTGCCATTATATTTATCTGGTTTCTCTTATTTAATGTCTTTTGCATCGCAGATGGATTGTGGCCTGACTACAATGATGGCACCTGGCCCTCATGTTGCACCGGTTCTAATTTTGATATAAAGGAGGTACTTATGTGCTGCTGTTGTTTGATTTTCATTTCCCTTACTTCCCATGCCTGTCTAGTTAATAATGCTGTTTGGGGGAACATGAGATGGGGCTCTAGATGCATAGGGAACATCTTGAAACTAATTTTTTCGGTATGTGCTTATGGGTTATGGTGCATTGTTGCACCATTTAATATAGAAACCATATGTAGGATGTGGGCACTTTGTTATAGATGCATGGATGCCTTCTTTAGAAGAGTAAGAACTCTGTTTTACTGCTTGGTAGTTAACTGTAGATTTGTTTCATCTTTAATTGAGAGAAAATTTGGTAACTAGTAGATGGAAATTGATTATTTCATTTGTAATATATTCTAAAGTTGTGCTATTGAATTATATCTCCAAGATTTGTATTTTGTCTTCATATTTTGTAGAAGTTTTATTGGAGATTCAATATATTTAAATGATTGCATCCAAACTTGCAAAATCGCATCCTAAAAATGGTAATATAAATTATGGAGAAGAGAACTTGGCCAAAAAATTCCATTATTTTGCTAGAGTATGTGGAAATAACTGCAACTTCAAGACACATTAAACATAAAATTAACTATTCTGCTTTGGTAAAGATGTGTTTATACAAGATAAAGTGCATGTGTAGTTGTAATATAAATTATGGAAGAAGTACTTGAAAATCTTGAGAAACTTGGGTATATGGGTTCAAATAGGAACGTAGAAAACAATGGCAGCCGACATATATCCATTCTAGAAAAGTACTGGTTCAAAAAATCTATGATATGGTTAAGCAAAGATTTTAAGCTCATATACAAGTGGCTTTTACTTTCTTTTTCTTTTTCTTTTCAACTTTTTTTTAGTTTTATGAAGCTTGATATTTATGTCTAACATACATTCTAAAAGTGGTTTGGCTTTCTGAGTTGAATATTAACCATGTTTGCTTCATTTCTTTTGTAGATCTCAACATTGCTCAGTGCCCTAGAGACTTATTGGCCATCTTTAAGTTGTAGTTTAGCGTCGACCTGTCATGGTGGGAAAGGATTATTTTGGGCTCATGAGGTCTTTATTAATTGTGGGCTTTCTTACTAAATTTTCTGATCTTATAATATGGAACTAACAATCTTGTGTTTCTATCATGGCTGAATTGGGCGACATCCATGGCCAGTGGGGTAATCATCTTCATCCTGTACTACATTACATTGTATGACGAATAGAATGTTTATTATGTAGAATTATATTGTTCTCAAATTAGAAGCTACTTCGATGCATGAAAAAGTTGTTGAAGCTATACGTACAATACACCCGCAACAGCACTTATAGGGAAACAGATCCCAGAGTCATCTGAATTCTAGCTTCCCAATTCTGGAAGGAATACATTAATTGTTATAGATTCTCTTTTCTTTTTAGACAAATAATTAGAAATTGTGATAATGAACTTAGGATGATTTGCTGCCTAGAGATCACTCCGTTTGAGTGCATTGGCCTGTTGCACCGTCTTTAGTGATTTGAATATATCTATCAACAGTCTTGCTGAACATTGATATTCGAGTTGTTTTGTTATGTGGCCCATCAAAATGATGAGTCCAAACGGCAGTTGTGAATTGTGTGTATAACATTTTTTCCTAGGAAAGTAAGTGATGTTAAGATCATAAGGTACGTTTTTTTTTCCCCATATTAATCTCGTGCTTCACTTTTTGCTTGTGAATCACAGAAAAGCATGGGACATGCTCATTTCCAGTTATTCGAGATGAATACGACTACTTCTTGACAACTCTTAATGTCTATTTCAAATATAATGTCACGGTAAGATTTGGGTTATTTATCTTATTCTTTCAATATGTTTAGACTAGGTTGTTCACTAAATCGACTACAAAATTATATAGATAGCAAATGATCATGTTGTCTTTCTGTTACATGCATTTTTCCTTTTGTTCCCTGTATGCATCGAAATTGATGTTTTTGTCAATTTTGCATCCCATGCTGGCTGCAGACATCAATGTTCTGTTATTGCCAAAGTGAGTTGTACTGCCACAAACTTTAAGCAAGTGAAACTTGCAGCTTCCAAAACTGTGTCAAGGGCTGCAAATGAACTGAGCCAAGCCAAATATCAGCTTGCTCGAGCTTGACTCAGTTGAAATGAGTGCTGCTTGAGCTTGAGTCAAGCTTAGAGACCGTAGACCTAGCTCGGCTTGGTGGCAGCATGCTGTGCTTGTGAACCAGCTTGGTTGACAAGAGAATGGGTTCCAAATCCAACTAATATGGACACTCGTCAAAGTCTTGATTGTCTTGGGTGGTAAATAGTGCAAAAGACTTCTTTAGTTCAACACTAGTCAGAATATCATCAGCCAAACGTTTAAAATTTAATACAATACAATAAAAAGTAAGATGCTGACAAGTCTTACAATAAAAGAAGTACTATGACATTACACCACAGGCATTGGCCAAACGTTAGCTTGGTTAACACAGTTGATTTATTATATATATATATGTATGTATATATTTATAGTATGTAACGCCATAGGGATGTTGAAAGCTAACAAAATGCTACTGAAATTTTTAAGAAAATACATATGTGCCCCTGCCACATGTTCACGAGCCTAATGACCTAAGCTTGGTCATTTTTGTTTCTTAAACGAGCCAAAGGATTAGGCTCAAGCTCATTCAAGCTGAGCTCAACCTATTCATAACTTCATGAACAGTTCGGTTTGTTAATGTTACTTGGAACATGGATAATTTTGGTATGTGAAATGGGAAGGGAACATGTTAAGCCACAAGATTTAAATTTTGGTACGATAGGGGTAGACTTCTAGAGTTTTTTTTTTTTTCCTAAAACCAAATTAATCATGTAGCGACACGTTTCTATGAGCACTATGACCCATTTTAACGTTTTATCATGTCAAAACTTTCACTCACCTTAGATTTTAATTTATTATATTTGTTTTTTTAATTCCTAAGGAAACATTTAGTACATGTGTTGGAAAAAACTCTTAGGATTGCTTTGGATTGCTAAATTTACCATTTTAGAACGAAAGTGTACCATGTTTCGGAGCGTGCATTCCAAAATGTAATTCACTAGGGTATTAGTGTTTTCTAGTAACACTTTGCAACCCTAAAGGTTCGAAAAGAAGAGGAGGAAAAAGAGAGTAGATTAGGGGCTTTTTAAGGATGAGATGGTATCATCCTATTTTCAACTCAAACTAGATTTTGTCAAGTTTTTCTTGTGGCATAAAAGAAATGGAGACCATTAAATAATATTCATTTAGTTCTTCATTATGTCCCTCAAGTTTTCCTTGGTTTTTTTCCCTCAATAAATCCAAAATTGTATAGGCAATATGTGCAACAAAGTTCCTGATTAATCTTTGTGGTCGTCTAAGCTAGGCCTTGGGTTTCACCTCAATATAGGGAGGTTTGATCACCTTGGAATTGCATATATGCTTTGACTACAGTAGTTGATATTCTAATTCATATATGTTCCAGCCATGATGCCCTTTTCTTTGCTTTAATTTGAGATATCTGATGCTGTAATTTCTCTTGTTAAATCGACGGCATTTTGTTGTTAAGGTGCTTGACATTGGCAAATCATTCATCTTATATTGGGTTTTCTTTGCTTTATTCATTTGACCATTAACTATATATTGAATTTATGACAACAGAAGGTTCTTAATGAAGCTGGATACATTCCTTCGAACGCTGAAAAGTATCCTCTTGGAGGCATTATTACGGCAATCCAAAATGCCTTCCATGCAACACCTTTACTTGTTTGCTCTAATGGTGCAGTGGAGGAACTCCGATTATGCTTCTATAAGGATTTTAAGGTATGACTTCTCTGCTGCTTAAAATCTTGTTGTTAGTTCCATATTGGAAACTAAACCTGCAATGTGTATGCATGTGCACATGGTGAGTATGTGTATGAAAATACATGCTCTGATACCGTCTGCATTTCTTGCCCAAAGGACACCCATTAGGGGTCCTGGCCAAAAATCTATCTTAGACATTTGCCAATGAAAATATGTTCTGAAAAACTCTAGAAAACAGGAAAGTAGATAAAAAAGGAAAACAGCACATGTAACAGGATAAATTGATAGGGGCCATACCAAATGAAAACCCTTAAATTGAGTAGTTTTATTTATTTATTTGTTTTTAGAGGATCTTTATCGGAATATACATTTCTTTCTGAGTTTTCCATTCCGTGTCGGAACTCTAATGCCTTTTGAAAGTTTATGTTATTTCAGCCTCGGGATTGTGTAATTGGATCTGACATGCTTTCTTCTAAGAGCTCTTGCCCAAAATATGTCAGCTTGCCTACATTCGTATCATTAGGTAAGTTTCTTTCTTATCCGAATGATTACCTGATCAAAGGGACATGAACGCATATAATGGGTACCAAATTGTTATTATTTAAAATTAGGTAAATTACACTTTTACCCCCTAAATTATGACCCCTTCTCACTCCAATCCTAGGAAAAATTTCTTATTTTGGTCCCTGAACTATCTTATTCTTCCCACTTTGGTCCAATTTCCAACGAATATTATACATTTGTAATGGAAAATGCCACATGGCTCGGGTTGACCCATACTTGAGAGTAACTTGCACTTTTACCCCCCAAAAAGTATGGGTTCCCACTTAGGTCGAAGGAAATTTTCCCACTTTGGTCCCTAAACCGCCAAAAAATTGTTCAAAAAAAAAAAAGGAAAATAGTTCCCCTCAAATAGTTTTGGGATAGATCTTTAAAAATAAATTTTAATACTTTGCATTCACACTTCTTTTCCAATATATAAATATGGGAAATGATTTCAGTATTATGCTAAAATATGATACAAATACAGTAGTAGCATAAATAATGAATAAATTGTTTACAATTTGTGTTTTACTAGAAAGTTTGATTATGACTCTGGTGAATCATATCATCAAAACATTCTCTTGAAGTCCCATATCTGATACAAGTTCAATTTCCTTATTGTTTATCTCTCCTCACTTGCAGGGCTTGAAAATGGTGAGGATGCATTCTTATCGTTGCCTCAAAATGAAGCTCTTTAAAATCCTAGAAGAGTGTGCGCCATTCTATGAACAGTTGAGACCCTATGAGGCGAAATAACAAGATCGACAAATGCTCTGTTGTAAAAATGTGTAACTTATGATTTTATTAGGAAATAATGAAAAAAGCTGTCTTTTTAGTGTGGATCAAAAAAATCATTTGTGCTTTAGTATCTCAAGCTTTATTTTGGTTTGTTATGAAGATGAAAATGCTAATTGATCATTCAGTTCCATTATTTGATGGATGTGCATTAGGCAATCCAGGACAAACACAGGAGCACTGGGTGGGCAAGGAAATCATGGTCCCTATGTGAATGTTGAAAGCATACACAACTTACACCAGGTCTGCTTGGTTATGGTTTCTGAGTGACTGTCAAGAATTCAATTCAACTAAAGAGGAAAAGGGTTACTAGAGTTAAATTACCTGTTCGGTGAAGATACTTAGGATTGAGGCGAAATAACAAGATCGACAAATGCTCTGTTGTAACAATGTGTAACTTATGATTTTATTAGGAAATAATGAAAAAAGCTGTCTTTTTAGTGTGGATCAAAAAAATCATTTGTGCTTTAGTATCTCAAGCTTTATTTTGGTTTGTTATGAAGATGAAAATGCTAATTGATCATTCAGTTCCATTATTTGATGGATGTGCATTAGGCAATCCAGGACAAACACAGGAGCACTGAGTGGGCAAGGAAATCATGGACCCTATGTGAATGTTGAAAGCATACACAACTTACACCAGGTCTGCTTGGTTATGGTTTCCGAGTGACTGTCAAGAATTCAATTCAACTAAAGAGGAAAAGGGTTACTAGAGTTAAATTACCTGTTTGGTGAAGATACTTAGGATTACATTTTATTTTTATTCTGAAAATATGCACAATATAACGTCTTATGCGACAAATAGAGTTTAAATAAGTTGAAAAAAAAAAACACTCATCATCATAAAGTTATGGAAGACATGCTTTTAACTTCTGTTACTTGATTATTAACTTTTAGCTAATGAAAAGTTGCACTGAGCAAGTCCACTATTAGTCTGACTGAAATGCCAAACCATTGAAAGGGCTGCGTTCTCAGACATTTCATCAGAAAAAAATTCCTGTAAGCCATCAGCCAAAGAAAACACAGAAGCATGGATTAGCATCACCTATCTTCTTGGAACCTACCTCTCTCATTTAATCTTATTTGGCCCAAACATTCACCCAAAGTACTAGAATTCAGGTCTGATATTAGCATAAGCATGGAGCCATCAACATTCACCCAAAGTACTAGAATTCAGGTCTGATATTAGCATAAGCATGGAGCCATCAACAAAAATCTCAAATTCAATCTTCAAAGTGCATGAAAGAAAGATGTAATATTTCCTTGATGATTCCATCAACTTCACCACACAAGGTGCAAATTCCAACAAGAGCGTTCCAGTTTCTGGTTCGTTCACTATATAAATGTACACTTTGCAGGCCCCTTGTATTCAAAAGATAAAGTACTATAAACTACATAAATCAGCAGGCGCACGAAGTTGCTGTCTTCAACTCTCCTTATTATTCTTCTTCCTCATATATATAGAAAACAGCTTCCGTTTCCAGCTGGCTTTGCCTTGATTGGAAAACAGTCAATGAAGTATTGTCAAAAGAATATTGATCGATCAAAAACCAGAAGCAGCAGCAGCATCTGAAGAAGCTAAGATCTGCATGGCACCTGGTAAAGTCCAGATGCAAATGATGAGGTTAAAACCATAGGAGCATCAACCTGCAGATTACAATCAATATAATGAATATAACTTTTAACTGCTCAAGGTGTCTTTAACTCATCAAGTATAATAAAAGAAATAATTGTTTAAATTACATTGTACTCTCCTAGGTTTGGAAAAAAATATAACAAGCTCTATAATTTTGACATAATACACCAATTTCCCTTTTAATAAGGATATATGAATGGAATTAATGCAGATCGTGTGAAAACACAAAAATAAACAAGATAAAATATACATTTCCTTTTCATCATCCAATTTGGTTCATCTATAACCATTTTTTAAAGAAGAGGGAATTTGAATAAATATGAATGCAAGTATTTGATTTCCTGTAAGATTTGAATCAGAATAACAAAAATGAAAAAAATCAGAGTCCTGACCGAAGGAATTTGAATAAATTAATCCACGCCACAAAAGAATTAAGCCTCGCCTCCCCACTTTGCAAAAATCAACTTCATCCATGTGGAAAAGCAATGCTTTGATAGGTGTTCTGGTAAATCCACCACCTACAAAACATCATAAATTTCATGTAAATTCAAAATGTCCACCTACAAAGTAAACAAAGTTCCATTTCATTATTAATCTCATTTGACACACAAATTAATAAGAGCTTTTATTTGTATTAGCTAATTCAGAAAACATACAAATTCTACAAAAGCCAATGTGGAGTTTAGTAGTATAAACCCACTTAAATGAAGTGATTCACCAAGTTTCTGATATATACATGAAAAAAAAAAAATTAATAAACATGGGCACCAAAAAAGACTTTTTGATCCAAAAGAAGAAGTCATAAAATTCAAGCATATCACGCAGCTAGTACTCTTTTATACGTTCTTCCCTGATGCACAGTGCTTACTTCATGTATTTGCTTTCTCTTGGTACACAAGTCCCTTAAATAATAGTAAATAGTTCCAAATCAAAACCTGCTCTTAAAAAAGGGTTGCCATTCTTTTGTTTGACAACCCGAGCATTTGCAATTTTGCCAAGCAATGGCTCCAAAGGAGGCAATAGATTCATCATCACCAGCATGACTCCAGGTTTGTTCAGATAGAAATAATGGAACCATTTTATGCATGAAACATCAAATGTTGAAAGTAAGCAAGATGCAAGTTCAAACAGAGACAACATGAAACACAACAGTTAGAATTTACTAAAAGAAAGCAGATTCAACATTGAATATCACAGTAAAGCCTGGAGATCAAGGTTTGGTTGTGCGCCTGAAACTGAATCTACAATCTAATAAATAGAATAAAAGTGAGTTCTGTTCTGTCCCACAAAATATGCCACAATCTAACCAAACATGGATACAAACCCTTGGTAAGAAAAGGTAATGTTCTAAATTATTAAAAAAAAAAGAAGAAGGAAGAAAAAAGTGCATAACTTGAGACAGCATAGGCATAGATCATAAGTGAAAGTCTCAATTGACATGAAAAGCAAACACATGCTGGATATAAATCTGAATAAAATTTTTGTGTTTACTTCTAATATGAAACTAGATTTAACCTCCTAGTTACTGGGCCTGAGGCAACCTTTTCTGCCCACTCTAGCTACAAGCCTCCGTCAGATGAGGTTTGGCAACTGATTTTCAGCTGTTTTTTTTGTTGGGTTTCTTTTTTGTCTTTTAGTAAACTTTTTTATTTATTTATTATTTTTTGAAAAATTCTACGCTTTCAGGTTCTATTGAGTAGACGGACCTGAAAAGTTTTAAAAGAATTTAAAAACTTAAAAAAAGTCCACTAAAGACAAAAAATAAAAACAAAATAAGTCAAAAAAGTTACATTTTAGATCTTTCTAGACTAGATAGACCTGAAAAGTAAAAAATTGACACAAATCTTTAAAAAAAAAAAAAAAATCACTAGGAACAAAGAAATTCGGGAAAAAAACTTGTTTTTGGTTTTCCAAAAAAACTTTTCAGAAAATTCTACTTTCTTATTTTCCGTTTTTTTGGTTTTACTGAATTTTTTTAATATTTTAAGCAATTTTTTTTTTTAATTTTTAGACACACCTAACATAAATACACATAAAAGTATAATTTTTATGAAAAAAATCTTTTAAAATTTTACTAAAAATCAAAAATATATTAAAAAAATGAGAATTCAGTATATTTTTCATTTTTTTATGTATTTATTAATTTTTTAAAATATTTTTTCACAATTTTTTTATTTTTTAGATACATCTAAGGAATGTGCATCTAAAAAAGTTTAAAAAATGCTTAAAATTTTAAAAATATTCACTAAAAACAAAAAAACATGAAAAATAAAAAATTCAATTTTCAAAAAACTTAATCCAAAAAACTCAAACCAAACACACAAAATGTGACCTTTTTAAACTGTTCCGATATAGTTTCTAATTTTCAAGGATATTTTTCAAAACATTGTAAATCATCTGGACTCTAATTTAGTCTTCTTTAATCTTGGATATTAGTTCATTTTAGAACCATGGAGGGTTTTGGCAAGTCTATTAGCATCTTATCTTGCATTCTCTTGTTGATACTTAAGAATAGCAGGATTAGTTGTTTTCAACCTAACAGTTTCTGCAACTCTATTTGTTGAATCATGAAGGAGATGCTAACCTAAGAACCACCAACTCTAGGATGATAATTAGATAAGAGAGGAATACTAAAGAAAAAAACCAAAGAAAAAATATATAGGCTAGAATTAGTCTTTGAGTTGAGTTCATTCACTCCCTAAGATTATGGTTAAATCATGAATTTGGAAAAAAAAAATTAAAAAAGGAAAAGAAAAAAAATAGGTGAACTGTGAATGAAATATAGTGACATTTCAACCACCTTTTCTCTCTCTATTTCTAAATTTTTATCCAAATTCATGATTCAAATACAATAGAAAGTCGAAATCTTCGGCTCCACAAGAGCAATAATAGAAATCAATAAACAATTTAGTTGAAGAAGATGAAAATAAAGCTAAAAAATATTTATACCATCTGATTTAAGCAACTTTACAACATTTGTGGCTAGAAATAATCCACTAGTGTCCAACAATATGTAAAAACTGAAAATTGTAAATAGGAAAGTGGTAAGGTAACAAACAAGTTTGGATTTATGCATCAATTGGGTTGATAAGCCAAGTGATTATACAAGTAAAAAAACGAAATTTGATTCGTAATTAATTCTCTTGGTAGAAGGATGACCCTAAAAAATTAGAAGAGCAAATAAGGGTCTATTTAACGCATAAACGTACTTTCAACAGTACTTGTCAACACATGCATATTATTAAAGTACACAAACATTGGCGGAGGCAAGGGAGGACGAGGGGGTCACGTGCCCCCCTCAGTTTTGAGATTTTTTTTTTCTTTTTTTTGTCTTTTGTTATATATAAAATGTATTTTTTTCATCTTAACATGTTTTTTGGTTAGGAATTTATTGTATTATTCATAACAAGTAATTATTTGATACTTTAAGAGTATTATGTGATATTATATAATAGTTTAAACTAATAGTATAGCAAAAAATCTTATAGATTGGATATAATGAACTCATTATTTTCAAACAGTTGACAGACTACTTAGTGTGATTTATGATTTCTCATGCTTTGAGCATTACATAGGCAATGCTATATGGTATTCTAAGACTGTTTAATAATTTTCATTCAAAACACATCGTTTATAAGCAATGTCATCTCTTTAATATTTTTCTATAAAAAACAAATTAAATAAATTTTATAATAATTTGTGCTATAAACAATGTGTTTTTATTTTCTAAAATTAAGAATTTTGATCCATAATTTTTTGTGCTAAAATTACAAACTTACATCACCATCCCGCACTGAGCTATTCTACACTATTATAGAATTTTAATTTGTTCCTATTAATAATTAATATGTAATTTTTTATGCTTAAATTTAGCTCATAAAATTATTATTATCGTAATGT